AAGGAGTTTGTAAGCCGCTCTGAGACTCCAAGTGAAGGGCGGGGTATAAATCCAATCTCTCCTCCTCCTCCTCCTCCTCCTCCTCCTCCTCAGGTCCCTCAATGACTACTAGTCATGGTGACTAAAGGGAACTTTCATGTTTAGAGTCAACATCATGCTAAGTCAGTTACATTTGAGTCCAGTAGCACCTTCATCGGATAACTGACAAGGGGAGATTTGACTCTTGAAAAGCTTATACCCCTAAAATCCTGTTAGTAGTCCTTTCTACATTTGCCTGCCACTCTGGGTTTTCTCAGCCCGTCTCCTCCTCCTCCGCCTCCCCACCCCTTTCCCCTTCTGTTACAGAATTTGGGGGCCATCCTCATACAACTCTCCTGCTGCTGCTACTCTAGTTGCAAGGACAGAGGAGGAGAGAACTTCTTACACTGGCCAATTGCTTTTCTTTCCAGCTCTCCACTCGCCACCTTGTTGCTCCTGGCTTTTTTGTCCTCTACTCCCTCTCCCCACCTGGGTCCTGGTGGGGCGCTCCAGCCCGACTCCTGGAGTCTTCTGGTGCACGCGCCTGAAAGTGACATCATCATGCCGGACATGTTGTGCGGGGGAACTCTATCATTTGGGTAAAAAATTCTATGGTCACCGTAGAGTTTTTACCCAAATGCTAGAGCATCCCCCACACAAGTCAGTGGCCGACTGGGGGGCCAGAACAGCTGGGGAACCCCCACCCCCACTGGACAGACTGGAGGAGGGGAATCAGGATTGTGGTTGTAGTTTAACCTGCCATCCAGGAAAACTGAAACAGGAAGTACCTGCATACAGATTCATTCTATGGGAAAGCCGGCAAACTACATGTTATGTTGCCAGTTTAAGTAAGGAAGCCCTAACCCTTAAAAAATGAAAAGCAGCCTTGGGATGCGATGCTGAGCAGAGAAGTGGCTGAGGAGAGGGTAATTCCTTTCACTTCCAGCTGTTTTCTGCTCAGACTTGAAATCCCCAAGCTGTCCCTTTTAGGGTTGCCAGCTCCTGGTTGGGAAATACCTTGAGACCTGAGGGGTGGAGCCTGAGGAGGGCGGGGTTTGGGGGAGGGAGTGATTTCAATGGAGTATAATAATGCTGCCGAGTCTACCTTCCAAAGCAGCCATTTTCTCCAGGTGAACTGATCTCTGTCACCTGGAGATTGGTTGCAATAGCAGGAGATCTCCAGCTACCACCTGGCGGTTGGCAACCCTATCCTTTTCCAGGTGGTTTTTTGGTGCATACTTACAGTTCTGATGCTTCTGAAATGCTGAAGGGGAACAGGAAGTGGTATTTGTGTGCGAAAACAGCAAACAAGAAAATCCCTGAATGTTCCCTCCACTGCCACTCACAGCTCTTTTTCATTTAACTTTGGGGGCTTTGTTACAAGCATTTACCTCTCATTCGCATGTTACACACACGTCGTGTGAAGAATGGGGCAATAGAACACATCTTTGAAATATAAGTGTATACTCGGTTACTGGACATGAATTTTAGAAGATGCATTTAAAAAACAGTGCAGTTAAGAAATCTTAAGTTTTCTTAAGAGGGGTGGCAAATTTCACTGCTTCCTTCCTCCTACTCCAGTCCTCTTATCCCCTTGAAATATTGTTCCAGAGAGGTTAGTAGACCTTCAGGAACAATATAATCGGGGGGGTGTGTGTTGCTGTGGGAAGGGGGAATCAGCAAAAATTGCCATCATCTGCTTAAGAAAACTGAAGGTTATTAGCACTGAAGTTAGGGTTGCCAGGTCTGACCTGTGTCCCAGCAGGGGGCTCCAGCCCAGCTCCCGGGGGTCTTCTGGAAATGATGTCATCACGCCCAGAAGTTGCATGTCGTTCAGGGGTTGCTCTAGCATTTGGGTAAGAAAACTCTATGGTCACCACCAGTGTTCTTAACCAAATGCTAGTGCACCCCCGGCATTTTTTAATATATATTCCTTCAAATTATATACCTCTCAGAGCGGTTTACAGAGAAGTTTCAAATGCACTTTAATTCCTTAACTACGGCCACATAGTAACGGGGTGGGGCTGCCTACCGGCACCCAGGTGGCAGGCTGGTTGTTGTTTCCTGGCACCATGCTTTGGCACGGTGACGTCAGCTGGCCAGCGGATTGGGGGCCTCAAAAGTGGGGGAAACCACGCCCCTATCACGGGGATGGCACCTCTAACTGAAAATGTTGAATTATATGGTGAAAGAAAACTTGGATGTCTCTCTTAAGGCACTCCCTTTTCCACATGAAGACATTAAAGGCAGATTTCTTGCATACAAAAACTGAACTCCTAGCAATTCTTCCAGGACCTGTATTAATAATATTATGCTACCCTGGGTATTTTGATCGACATGACTGCCATATCATTGGGGTATGAAAGAAAGCTGTTCAAAAGGAGACATGAAAGGCAGGTATATAGGAAGGAGCATGTATGTCTATGAGGAAAGTTAACAGAACAGAGTTGGAGTCCAGTGGCACCTTTAAGACCAACAAATTTCAGTTCTGGATATAATCCTTTGTGTGCAAGCACACTTCACCAACCATTACATACAGGTAGAGAGAGGGTGGGGATGGGGGTTAGTTGCCAGGAAGAACTAATTCAATGTATGTTTCAGTGTATCTGAAGAAGGGTGCATGCATACAAAAGCTTGTACTCAGAATTAAACTGTGTTGGTCTTAAAGGTGCTACTTAGGGTTGCCAAGTTGAACTTACCTTGGCGGCGGGGGACTCCTGGGTGGATCCTGGAGCGTGTGCGCAAAGCGCGTGCGCGCCGCACATACGTCACCAGGAAGTGACGTTATGATCGCCGGGCACGCTGGGGGTGGGGCTACAACCATACAAGGGAAAACCAGTTTTCCCTTGTATGGCTGTGGCCCCGCCCCCAGCGTGCCTACGTCACTTCCGGGTGACGCGCACGTCGGGGAGGAGTTCCCCCCGGGGCCCGATCCGGCAGCACTGGGGAACGGGCCTCTGGGGCGGGGGTTTCCCCGCCCCCCCGGGGGGACTTGGGATCCCTAGTGCCACTGGTCTCAAACTTTGTTCTGTTGCTTCAGACCAACATGGCTGCCTATCTGGATCTGTGAGGAAAGTGTCCCTTTGTTTCTGTGTGATTTGAGAAAGCATTTGCAGAAGAGTGTGCTGCTAAACAAGTTACCCTTTGCTTCATTGCAACATTGGTGATAGGGGCATTTTTAAAGGCTAAGGCCTCTGAGGTTCTGCTGATGATGAGACTTTTCACATGATTTGAAACAGGAACGGTTTACAAATTATGGCATAACTTTGTTCCCATTTCTTCAATGATTCAGAAGTAAAACATTGAATAGTGTATATTTATCAGTCTCATGTAAATAAAGGTAAAAGGTAGAAGTTTCCCTTGCTCGAAAGCTAGTTGAATCAGACTCTAGGGGGCGGTGCTCATCTCCATTTCCAAGCAGAAGAGTCAGCACCGTCCAAAGATGTTTCCGTGATCATGTGGCTGGCATGGCTAAACGCCGATGTGCATGGAACACTGTTACCTTAGATAAGTCCTCTGCTAAATCAGGGATCCTCAATATGGGGTCTGCCAAGTGTTTTTAAAACGTGGGCAGAGCCAAGTAGGGCTTTGGCCAAGCAAAGATTCTAATTGGCCATTGGAGATTTGATTGGCTGTGCAGATTTTTAAAAATGTCACTTTTGCAGCAGCTGCCACCACAGCACAAGGATCTTCACTGTGAGACTGAAGGTAAGCTGTGGCAGCCATTTTGTGGCTGGCTCCGCTGTCTGTGGCGGCCATTTTGTGGCTGTGCTCACCACACTGTGTCAGAATTCCAAAGGTGCCCGTTGGCTCCATAGGGTTGGGGACCCCTGCGCTAAATGATGCGATAAATCACCTCTTATACAATACTGTATTTAAACAAGTTACAATTTTATTTTTTATTCATGTTAGAAGTTCACTATTGAAAAATGGCGTGTACTAAAGCCACAACATTACACAGATCAACCATTAGATAGCAAAATCTTATTGGATGAGCACTAGTTGTTGCAATACAGTATAGCTAGTACAACTGAATAGAATAAAAAAGATTGAAGGACTTTTGTACCTTGTAAGGTGCAGTAGGCACAATGTATATCCTGATCTAGCTCTGCAAAAAGCATTTCACCATTATTTTACTGTTACAAAGTATGACAAGTCATCGACATGATATGTCAAAGCACAATGTGCTGAAATCATACAGTGTGCGCTACGCTTCACATTAGTGGTAAAAATAAATGATATGGACTATAAAGTCAAAGCCCTGCGCCCTCTGAGCGTTGTGTCCGAAGAAGTGTGCCTTGCACACGAAAGCTCACCTTGCATAAAACTTTGTTGGTCTTAAAGGTTCCACTGGACGCAAACGTTGCCCTCAGAGCACAATGCCTTTAGTCTGAGTTCAGAATTCGTTCAGAAGTAATCTATGGCTTTTCTTCACGTCGAGTTTTGAAGATCTGCATGCACAACTTACAATGGGGAAAAACCCAGAATTACACTCCCCCCCCCCAAATAACACACACAAAAACAGATCAACAGCCGGCATGTCCAACTTCAGCATTATTAGGGGCTGCTCTAATGCTCAGGCAGGCAGACGTCTGGAGGTTGGAAGTGTACTTTATTGCAAAGATTGATAATCCTGTGCTATGTCGGGGGCTACTTAGGAGCAAAGGTGTCAGGATGAGGAGCAGATGCCCGCAGGTATAGCAGGGGCATTACACAGGAAACAGGTGTATCTAATGTACGGTACATCTCCCTAAAATACTTGAAAACAATTTTCTGTTCCTTACGTGGGAAATGTTCTTATTGCCACGTCTTGTTTATATTTGGTAGAGTGACTGAAGTCCCCCAACTGGTCAGATTTGGCCGGTGGGATGACCAGTTGGCCACTGCTGGAATAGACTGCTTTCGATAGTTTTCTGGTCCCTTCCAAATTAATAGTTCATAAGAAAACAGTAGCATCTGACAGACCCATTTTGTTTATTAAAAAAAAGTTTCATATTTAGTAAGTGCCAGGTTAAATAACCAATACTCAGTTGTTTTGGTTAGGTTATCAATTACTGTTTGAGAAAGACATGGCTCAAGAGTAAGGAAATTTTATAAGGATCAGCAGAAAGTGAAATACCTATTAAAATAAAGTGGGTTTTTTAAAAAAATAATGTTTTCTAGACATATTTTTTGAACTAATGAAGCAAACAAAAGGGATCAAAAACAAAAACTCGCCTAGCTGGAAAAAGGGATGGATTAAGAAAGACCCGTGATTACAACATCTAGTTTTTATTTTCCATTAGCAAACTGTATTGCTTAGAGTTGCTTCTTTCTGTTTTTTGCTCTTTTCTTTAAAAGCACGAAGAACTACAGACTTTTTGGGGTCCAGCTTCACTATATAATACATGAATGATTTCAAACCTAAAATTAACATCTCACCATATTAAGAATTTTTTTTGACCAGCTGAAGCATAAAAAGGAATGCAATGAAACATGTGACAAAAGTGTATCATGCAGACTTTTGGCTTTTTGTATGCAGCGAAACAGCCAATAACCTGAATGGAGTAATTGTAAAAATCTGTAACATCACATAACATCATGTAAAACCTATTTGCAAACAAAGGAAAACTCTGGGTGGTTTAAGAATTATCAGGATGCCTACAAAAAAATTGTACCGGGCTGCATGGAGTAACTTCCACACACCTGTAACCATGACAAAATAAACATTAATGCCATTCTCAAACATGACTGTGTATATTGGTAGGGGGGGAACAGTGTATGTTACGCAGCCTATGGTTTCTAGGGCACAAAAGTAGCCTATTGAAGGCCTACAATTGTAGTACAAACTAGTGCTACTTCAAGTTCTTCATGCTGTTGTTTTCTTTAGGCTGAATTTCTTTGGAGACTGTGGCCAATGGTTTCTAGTTGGCACCAGCAAGTTAACCCACAATCTCTGTAGGATCAGTGACCAACTTGGATCCATCCCATGATGTCTTGAACTGTTCAGGAACAGGAAATTCTTTCTGTGTGGAGACAATATTGAGAGGGTTACACAGGGGTCATATGGAGAAAGCTGATGCAGTACAGCAAACAAATCAGGTTGCCAACCTCCAGTTGATGGCTGGAGATCTCTCAGGATTACAAGTGATCTCCGGGCGAAAGAGATCAGTTTACCTGGAGGAAATGGCTGCTTTGGAAAATGGGCTGTATGGTAGGATTCCAGATGTCCTTTTTAAAGAGGACATGTCCTCTTTTTTGATGTCAATCCTCTTTTGGGCTCTTTTTAAAAATACTGGTGAAAATGTCCTCTTTTGGGGTTGGAAGGTTAGGACTATTCCTAGTTAGCAGTGCTTAGCACAGCTTAAATAGTAGGACTGTTTAAAATGAGATTTTTCTATAGTGATCACTATAGTGATAGATGTCCTCTTTTTTGCTTTCCAAAACATGGTATTATACCCCATTGAAGTCCCTCCCCAAACCCCACCCTCCTCAGGCTCCACCCCCTACATCTCCAGGTATTTCCCAACCTGGAGCTGGCAACCCTACTAATATAGCTTGTAGAATTCAGGCATGCCTGAATTACAAAGAACCAGGAAGTCTCTTCAACACCACACAGAGAAACCATATAACATGTGCAGTTTCTTGCATAGATAGTAACTCAAATAAGTAAACAGGGCTCTTTTTGTAGAAAAAGCCCAGCAGGAACTCATTAGCATAATAGGCCACAACCAACAGCAGAAACTCATTAGCATAATAGGCCACACCCAACAGCAGAAACTCATTAGCATATTAGGCCACACCCTGACAGCACATCTCATTAGCACATTAGGCTGCACTCCCATGTTACCAGAAGTGTGGTTATCCAGCCGCACCCACCTTTTGCTTCTTATTCTGTTTACCTTGTTTGTTGTCAAAACCCAGGGCCTTTTTTTGTAGCAGGAACTCCTTTGCATGTTAGGCCACACGCCCCTAATGTAGCCAATCCTAATGAGTTCCTGCTGTGTGGGCTCTTATGCTAATGAGTTCCTGCTGGGCGTGGCCAACTTCGGAGCCAGCCGGAACTCCGTTCCTGTGCGTTCCTGCCCCAAAATAGCCCTGAGTATACATCTTATTTGCACATTTTCATGGTTATTAGGTTGGTTTCCTCTTGATTTTGCATAAGTTGGCCACTTAGGGCAGAAATTACGCTGTTTAGTATTTCCTTATCTTTCAAAATCTCGAGTTACGCTAACCGTATTACGTAATGCAGCACAGTGAAGTCTTAGCTGCATATAATCTGCAGTTCATATACACTACCAAACTAGTGTTAAGCAGGGCTTTTTTGTAGAAAAAACCCAGCAGGAACTCATTAGCATAATAGGCCACGCCCAACAACAGAAACTCATTAGCATATCTGGCCACACCCATGAGAGCATAGCTCATTAGCATATTAGGCCACACACCCCATGTTACCAGAAGTATAGTCATCCAGCCACACCCACCTTTTGCTTCTTATTCTGTTTACCTTGCTTGTTGTCAAAACCTAGGGCTTTTTTTGTAGCAGGAACTCCTTTGCATGTTAGGCCACACCCCTAATGTAGCCAATCCTAATAGGTTTCTGCTATTGGGTGTGGCCTATTATGCTAATGAGTTCCTGCTGGGCGTGGCCAACTTGGGAGCCAGCCGGAACGCCGTTCCTGTGCGTTCCTGCCCCAAAATAGCCCTGGTGTTAAGACTTTGTTGTCTGCCAATACTTTCTCTTTCCATCACTTTTCTACATCTCCTTTGCCATACCCCCAACCCCTTATTTCTTGCTATTTTTCACCCTTATTATTTTCCAATTGCTGATCAGGAGGTCCCCCCTCAGTTTCACTTCCTTACTCCTATATGAATAGAAAATGCCTAGGGCTAGGCTCAGAATCTCCCGCTGCTTAAACAGATTGCTGATTTCTTAAGGTATATGCTCTTTTAAAAGTAGATTCTTTAAAATAATAGCAACAGCTTCGTCTTGGGGGAAGGAGCTTGTGAATCCTTCGATATGTGAGTTTTTGAGCGTGCCCAAAGTAGAGCTTTAGACCTCAGCCTCTGAAAAAACTAGACAACTTCCGTATTATCCTGTGTTGTTATAAATTCCCAGATCTATTTTGTTAATTTACAAACAGGAAATGGTGCACTGGGTCATTATTCTATTCTTTAGGATCTTTCATCTGCTTTTGATGCTAATTATGTAATTTTTTCTTCTTTTCGTGATTTACAGCTTTTAATCATTCTTGTACTGGAGTTCTCAGACTTATACTTTTGGCTCTCTTTCTTTCTTTCTTTCTTTCTTTCTTTCTTTCTTTCTTTCTTTCTTTCTTTCTTTCTTTCTTTCTCTCTCTCTCTCTCTCTCTCTCTCTCTCTCTCTCTCAAATTTCCTGTGGGCTTCCTTAATTGTTCCTTTACTGCCACCTGTTATTTGTGTGCTGACGACTGCTGACTTCCCCTCCTTAGGTGCTATATCTGTGCCTGTCTGTAAAATGTCATTTCATTTTTAAAAACCAAATGGATCTAAAAAATGCCTTTTGATTTGACCTTCCTGTTTTGTTTCTGTTCTTTCATCTTTCTCTATTTCTTTGGGACCTATACTTCAGTTAATTACGTGGGAATTATCTTTGACTGTGATTTCTCTTTCAGTTTACTTAAATATCTTTCATAAAGCAGTCCTAGGGTAACATTATGCCAGTAGGAGAAGAGAAAGCAAAACAAGAAGAAGGGGGGAAAAAGTGATAATTCATCAGCTATCACTACAGTGTATCAGGCAACTCTGCCACTATTCACTAATAACAGTATTGCACATCATAATACTAATCAATGTTAGGATTGACATCCCCTGGTGGGGCCAGGGGATACCCCCATTTTTTTGGGGGGGCGATCCACTGCCAACCAACCGGCCAGCAGGGGAAGCCCCACCCCAAACAGCAGGGTCCCACAGGGTTCCCACTGATGCAATGACATCACCGGTAGTGACATTATCATGCTGAGGCTGTCACAGGGCGAAGCTCTAGCATTCGGGGGCACTCTATGGTTACCATTGAGTTTTTGCCCCAAACACTAGAGCATCGCCATGCAGTGGCCCTGGTGTGATGATGTAGGGTTGCCAAGTCCATCTTCCACCCCCAGCGGGGGACTTTGGGGGCGTTCCTGAAAGGGGTGGGGCATCCCCAACGTGATGACGTCACGTTGGGGACATCTGCCGCCCCCCCCTGCCGTGCGCCGGATCTCCAGAAACAGCAGTTCCCTGCACTTAAAGTAGCCAGCAGCCGGCGTTTCCCCTTTAAGAGAAGCTGCGTTTCCCTTTTAAGAACGAAGCTGGCTTTTCCCTGCAAGCACGGGTTGCACACCCTTAAAGGGAGAGAGATGGGTGGCTGTGGGTGTTGGGCTTCCCCCAAACGGGGGACCCCTGGCAAACCGGGGGGGGTTGGCAACCCTATGATGATGTCACTATTGGTGATGTCATTGCACCGCACTCGTATAGCAGAAAAATCCCAACAAGGAGCCGGGAGCCCCCTGCCACAGGTAAGAAGAGACCTGGTAACTCTAATCAATGTACAACAGCAGCCAGAATGCCAGGATGGTGTCAAGCCTAGACAGTGGACACTCACCTGGCCAGTGTTCCCTCTAAGCTGAATTAGTGTGAGCTAGCTCACAGTTTTTTAGCCTCCGGCTCACACATTTTTGTCTTAGCTCAGGAAGGATGGCTCCAGAGCAAACTAGTTTATTCAGCAGTCAAATTGCTCACTCACAACTTTAATGCCAGTATCTCACAAAGTAGCATTTTTGCTCACAAGAACCCACAGCTTAGAAGCAGCATTGCTCCTGACACAAACAAAGTACAAGTGAACTGCCAGGGACAGCCCTATTGCCTCCCCCACCAGAGGCTTCTTGTGCATGGTTAAAGCCCAAAGGCTTCTAAGGAGAAGAATTAACATCCCTCTAGGAGACTAAGCCTTTCCACCCTGAATACCAGCATCCCTTGGAAGTAAACATTTTTTTTGCTAAGAAGTGAGAAAGGAGCCATAACTGCAAGTTCACACTGGGAAC